TTGAGCGATTAATTACTGTTTTGTACACATTGTCATGCTAATTATAATTAAAATGCATTTTTTTTTTATTGACCACAATATCATTGCTATTTGTCTGAGAGGGGCACTTTTGAATAATTTTGAAAAAGGGCAGGGGCTTGAGCCCCCCAAAAAGCCCCCCCTTCTGCACATGCCTGCTAGTGCTTGCTGTAGCAGTTGCATGTGCTTCAGAAACAGCGAAATCAACATCTAAGATAAGTGAATGCTCTTCTAATCCAGTTTAGAGCATATGTAATTGCTCCGATGACACGCTGATAGTAACGGACATGAAACAGGTTAAATGAAATAAGCATTCTTGTGTATGCTTTCAATGGGGATTCGCCATATACATCGGCATAATCTCAATGTTCATGTTCGTTATTTCTAAGGTCGATGTTTTTCATTGTTATGAGTGTGTGGTTGATTTCAGCTGTGCGCAGTGTCTGGCACGTGCTTATCACAGTCATATCAATGACAGTGTTGTGGGAGAAGGGAAATAAGAGTTATCACTGAAGGTCAATATCTAAGGCTGTTGTAGTCCCGAGTGAAATGCATTATGGGTAGTGTAGTTTGGAGAAATGTGTTCGTGTGATGTGTGCTCTCACTGTGCTGTGTAGCTCAGAAAATGGAGAAAGAACATTTATATTCTGCTTTTATTTCAGTTCATTCAGGTCAGTCCACCCACCCAGGGGTTTTTGTGCACTGTAACTCAGACAACTTTTAACTACACGAGAGAGTAAAATGGCATGCATCTGCTAACTTTGTCCGTCTCATCGTTGCACGAACATGAATTAACGAGCTGTTACGCTGCCGCTGGGACTGATGAAGTGGAGAAAGTACAGCAGTTATCAAATGACTAAATTATGATATTTGCTCAGGTGGGTGCTGGGATCTTTTCTATCAGATTGCAACGTATATTCATTTTGTTAATTCACATTACACATAGTGCGCGTCTAATTAGAGTTAAGCCAGTCAGCATGGTAGCCAAGGCTCACATAGCCATAGGCCACTATTGTTAAGCAGGTTGGCATGGTAGCCAAGGCTCACATAGTCATAGGCCACTATTGTTAAGCTGGTCGGCGTGGTAGCTAAGGCTCACATAGTCATAGGCCACTAGTGTTAAGCTGGTCGGCGTGGTAGCCCAGGCACACATAGATAGTAATACATGCGGTTCACATGGCTCTTCGGAGCAGCAGCAGTGCAAATGTCTTGGCAATAGATCTGCTTGTTGGAGGGTGTTTTGTTCTTGTTTTGGCTTGTATTGTCCCTTCTATGTATCCTGCTTTGTGGGGGGTTATTTCTTGTATGTTATATTTGCAGCAGCAGTATTTCTTACATGCTCACAGCAGCATGTTGTGGATGTATTGGCAGTAGCAAGTCTCGGTACATGCTCTGCTGCCGCAGCAGTAGTGTAGCAGATATTTTCCGCCAAGACCAAATACATTAACATTGTCATGTACATTACCATGCCAATCCCTCTGAGAGTTGTCATGACAGAAATGTAGTTCCGCATTGATTGTTCTGCAGTAACATCAAAGACCTGGGCACAAGAGAACCCCTCGGAGGTGTCCCACTGCTGCTGCATGTCACAGCAGAATGTTGTGGATGTATTGGCAGTAGCAAGTCTCGGTACATGCTCTGCTGCCGCAGCAGTAGTGTAGCAGATATTTTCCGCCAAGACCAAATACATTAACATTGTCATGTACATTACCGTGCCAATCCCTCCGAAGTTCTCATGACAGAAATGCAGTTTCTTACTTCATTCACGAATTAATCAGCTGTTTTAAAAGAATAATTTAAATAAATGACACACTTATTAAGACAGTGGCTTGCCACCACCTTCTGGCAATTTTAGTTTCATGTTTAAAAGTATCATCATATTTTTTTTCTATCACTTCATATTTCTATATAGCAATTTTTATATTTTAAACAATCATAATGTTATTTATGCAATTTTTAAGCACAGCCTTGGATATCCACTCGCCCTCAAACTGCCCCTGGAGGGATGTATTAGACAGCAAGTAAACAGTCAGATTTAAATGTGTTGGAAGCAAGAAAAATGGGCAAGTGAAAAGATCTGAGCGAAATGTGATTGCTAGACAAATGGGTCAGAGCATCTCCAAAATGTCAAGTCTTGGCTAACAAGTTGAAGCCTGAAAATTGCTCAAAAGCTTAATGCTGGCCATGATAGAAAGCTGTCAGAACTCACAGTGCATCTCAGTTTGCTGCGTATGGAGCTTTTTCAAGCCGCAAACCAGAGTGCTCATGACGACCCTATACACCGCTCAAAGAGCCCACAACAGCGTCAGAACTGGACCATAGAGCAATAGAAGAAGGTCGCCTAGTCTTATGAATCACATTTTCTTTTAGATCGAGTGGATGGCCATGTTGTGCATTGTTTACAGGGGAAGAGAAGGCAGCAGGATGCACTATGGGAAGTAGACAGGCCGGAGGAAGCTGTGTTATGCTCTACAAAATTATCTGCTGGGAAAGCTTGGGTCCTGCATTCATATGGACGTTACATTGACATGTACCACCTACCTAAAGATTGTTGCAGACCACATAATGGCTTTTCACACTGTGCTTAACCCCAGGTTATTGTCGTTCTAAACACCTCTTTTAACCCTGGGTAAAGGAACATTTCACACATGTAATTGAGAAGTGGGGTTAGCACCACTTTTTACCTGGGGTTATGAAATCATGCTCTGGAGCCTTGCTTTTGCAGTGTTAACCCCGCATTGTGGTGCTAACCTTGTACAGTGTGAAAAAGAGTGGTGTTATAATATAACAGCTAGACACTTGGCAACAGACATCCAATCGCGTGCTTCATATTTACATGCTTTGGCATTTGAGGGGAAAAATATGTGGATGCTTAATGCCGTTATGTAAAGACGTTGCATGCTGCGTTTGTCTAATCATTGACACTCACACCGAAAATATGGAAATAAGGACTTTAACCCAGGGTTTAGGAATGTGCAGTGTGAAATGGCAGCTTATTAACACCCAGGATTAACTTTTAGAAAAGTTTGGACACCCGGCCCGGATCTATGGGATGTACTGTCTATTTTTATTATGTGTACTCAAGCTTAGCAGTTCTGCCTTCTCTGCTTTACTGTAATAATTTTCCAAATGTTGTTTGATTGGTCATCTATGTAATGTTGTTGGCTGTATTTCAATATTTATTCAAAATTACATTATAAAACAGGAAAATTGTTTATATTCATAGAACTCATGTTTTCTTTGTATATATACAGTATATCACTGTTTGATGTAGGCCACTAGGTTACTGTTGGGGAGTTTCCGCCTCGCCTCTTGCAGTAGTTAAAGGGGCTGAACCATGTTAACCAGCCAAAACTTGATCAGTTGATCAGTAAGAAACTCTTAACTCTCGCAACTATTTGTGGGATACTGATTTCAAGAGACTGGACAGAATTCATTCATATTTACTCTTTGCTGATCTGCGAGCAAATTACAGTACAATGCCATTGCGATACAGAAAAAAAAATTAATAAATAAAGGTGCAGTATGTAATATTGACAGCTAGCTGTTGAATAGGGCACTGAAATCCAAATTCAAAGTATTGGATAGAGTTGCCAGATTGATGACACACAATTACTCAAAGGAAGCACAGTTATAAGCCATGTGCTCAACAAAAACACACAAGACTATGAGCACATGGCCAATGAACAAGACCAAAAACCATCAAAACAAAACAAAATAAAACACAAGCACATGAAACAGGGTCAAAGAACCCCCACCATGTGCTCACAACAAAAGACAAAACATGAAGCACTAGCATCTGGATTCCAACTAAGGACCAAAACCAAACTAGACAAGAGCGTCAGGATCCAGATACCAGCCTTCAAACACACACAACACACTACATGAGCGTCCTGAATAATGTGGAGGTTGAACAATGGTTTTAGTGAATTTCAGTTGTGATCTGAGAAATATACCAAATATTGAAAACTATAACATGATAAAATATCAAACATGCTTAACTTAATGGAGTGATGATGGTGATGAGGAATTGGGTTTTGTGGTCAGAGACTTCCTCTGCTTGATGTGGCAAGATTTTTTTTTTCTTCCTGCCTTTGTTTCAGAGTTGCTGTAGATTCATCTCAAATGTTGTGTGGAATATTCATAAGTAACATCATACACTGCCTGGACAAAATATTTAAATATGCAAATACTTCAAATTGTAGGTTTGGATCATGATTGCAGTGATTAATATGTTTCTGGCATGTAATATGTGTGGCAACAATTATTTTAACCCTAACTGATGCAGTGCATATCTTTTTAATTTTTCAAACAGCCATGTCTGAAGAAGTACACATGTCCATATTTCAAGATGACAATGTCAAGATTCATCAGGCTCAAACTGTGAGAGATTGGCCACTGCAGATTCCTGAGCTTAACCCCAATGAAAGTCTTTAGGATGTGCTGGAGTCGACTTCACACTGCCTGTTCAAAAAAAGTTGCTCTAGTATTTCATAGGAACACCTTTAGCTTTGATTGCATTGTGTATTCATTGTGGCATTGTTTCGACAAAGTTATGCACAACATCACAACATTTATTTCCATCAAGATTTGCATACATTTTTGGCCGAGATCTTGCATTGACAATTGATAAAATATCAAACATGCTTAACTTAATGGAGTGATGATGGTGATGAGGAATTGGGTTTTGTGGTCAGAGACTTCCTCTGCTTGATGTGGCAAGATTTTTTTTTTCTTCCTGCCTTTGTTTCAGAGTTGCTGTAGATTCATCTCAAATGTTGTGTGGAGGGAACCAGGTTTTATAGTGAACTGTTTTAATCACGACAGCAACATGAAGATCATTCAGCTTCAGCTATGTGAGTTTATTACATATGAATATATTTACATGCTTTGTAAACTTATTAAAATTATAAATAGCTTTATGTTGTGCGTCACAGTGTTGATGTTATTATTTTTATAATAATTTTATTTTTTTTATGTTATAGATGTATTCATCTGTTGTCAGTATGCAGTGTCAGATCTACTAACTGATTTGGGATCAAATGTGAGCATAAACTGTGATCTTGATGAAAATGAGGTTTATTGGATTTTACTGAAAACAGCAGATCCTCCAACAGTGATTCTACGATCATTCTCAAAACCAGTACCACCATTTTACACAAATGATACATTCAGAAAGAAATATTCAGTGCAGTTTAAACATCGTCTGGTTATTAATAATGTGACTGTGTGTGGCAACAATTATTTTAACCCTAACTGATGCAGTGCATATCTTTTTAATTTTTCAAACAGCCATGTCTGAAGAAGTACACATGTCCATATTTCAAGATGACAATGTCAAGATTCATCAGGCTCAAACTGTGAGAGATTGGCCACTGCAGATTCCTGAGCTTAACCCCAATGAAAGTCTTTAGGATGTGCTGGAGTCGACTTCACACTGCCTGTTCAAAAAAAGTTGCTCTAGTATTTCATAGGAACACCTTTAGCTTTGATTGCATTGTGTATTCATTGTGGCATTGTTTCGACAAAGTTATGCACAACATCACAACATTTATTTCCATCAAGATTTGCATACATTTTTGGCCGAGATCTTGCATTGACAATGAGGGAGTCGAACCTCTCTGTAAAGTCGACTCCAGCACATCCTAAAGATTTTTAATAAGGTTAAGCTCAGGAATTTGGGGTACATCTTCCAACATGGCTGTTTAAGACATAAAAAGCTACGCACTGCACAGTGCACAGTTAGAGTTAAAACAAACATATTAATCACTGCAGTAATGATCCAATCATAACATCTTAAATATTTGCTTATTATGAAATGGTGAACGCACAGTAAAACTGGCCTTTTTACAGGCAGTGAAATTAACATTTTCAGCCATTGCACTAACAATAGCATTTTTTACAGTAACAGACTGTGGACACTTTTATTACAGAAACAACTCCACTAACTGGGTTAACTGAGTGTCACAATCATACAGTGACTGCGTATACTGATCAGAATCAGGCACAATGTCAGATTATTATCATCATATTGGGACTGATGAATGGGCTTCTGGTTATTGTGGTGGTTGGTGAGAGATTTTCAGCAATTTGTAAAAAATATTTATATCAATTTCTCCATAGCCAGCTGATGATAACTTAATGTGTAAATATTCTTAATTTAGGCATTTGACTATTTAATTATTATTGTGCCATTTATTTGATATAAATATTGAATCTGAAACACTCTTTAATTTTTAGGACTAGTAAAGGTTTTTGTTGTTGGAAAAAGAAGGTCTGAAGAACAATTACAACAAATTAACGCTGATCTACAGCAGACGCAAGTTACAGAACAGCATCAGGACCAATTACAGGTCAGAATATGTGAAACCAGCGTTATAACTCAAATTAATTTGTGTCTTGATTATTATTCATTATTCTTGCTGCTGACCTGTACAATAGTGTTATATAACACTTCATTTTGGTTCATTTTTGTAGCTGAAATTGCTAATTTTGCTCTTTCAGTACGCTGAGGTGGATTTTTCCAAACTGCGCAGAAATATTCGGTCCAGCCAAATCAACAGCACCTATGCTGCTCTACAGCTGCCAAAGTCATGAACACATGAGTATGACTGATTTTACACTTATTTTATTCACTTTTTCTTGATGTTCGATCCTGAGTCTGAGGAAAGTTCAGAAAAATGCTGTAAAAATGTAAAATAAGTTAAACTCGACTACATTTGACATTATTAATATTTCATTCTGCTTTCTAAAGACTGGTTGGAAGTCATGAGATTAATCACAATTATTTTATTGAATTGACAGCTATAGTTTATATGTCTGTATCTAAAAGTTCTCTAATAGTGTGCAGAAAATATCACCTGGTAAATATTTTCTTTCTAGTAAGTAGACACTTATTTTTTCTTTGTATACTTATTGTATAAATGCTACTTGAAAATATGAACCTGCCTTTGTATTTTAGTGGGTCTCATAAAGAATTATTTGGGGTTCAGTCGGTGGCATCAAAAACCTTGAAAACCCCTGCTTCAGATTAAATGAGTGTTTAAGACCTTTTATATTTGCTAGTTGGTCTGCTTCTCTTTGAAGTAGCTGTCTTGAGCCGTATCATGGTGGAAACTTTTGTGAGTGGCTGTAGATGCATATATATGAAGGTAGAGCGTGCACAATATTCATTATTTTTGTGAAGCCAGATTGGTTGTTTTCAATTCTGTTGGACTGAGAAGAGGTACATTTTTATAAGATACCAAGGACTGTTTATTTTGTAAAAATGGTTTAATTAATACCTGAATAAATGAATACGTATTTTATAAAGTAAACATAATCAGTTAAAATAAATATATTTCTTTGTGTATGTTTTTTGTGTCTGTGTGTGATTGAGTTTGTCATTCTTAATATTCTACGAGAAAGTTGTTTAGCTGGTTATACATACTTTGCAATTTGTTAAGTAAAAAAAAAAATAACACTGTGAAGTGTTATTTTCAACTAAACTCATCTGAAGTGCTAAACCAAAACCAGAAACATGTTCCACTGGGTTTGGCACTTGACAACCAACAACTCTCACCTTTGTCTAGAGTGGAGGTTTAACTGTGAAACGAGTGCAGTGTTTTTCCAACACCTTCATGTTTATAAAGTTCTCACAGTCTTCTTAACCTCAAATGGAAAGTATGTCTGCTTTGTTTGTTTGCTAGACCCACACGATGCCCAATTAGCACTTGCCAAGTGTTAATGTATGTAAACCACGTTCACAACACTTATGCTGAAGTTTTTTTTGCTGTGATTGTCCAACAAACTGAAACTGGCAGAGTCATTTCACACGAATCTAGGCTTAATCTTGAAGTAAAATAAATGTTTTTACTCAAATATTATACTAGAAGTCCTGAAACAAAGCCTTTTGGGGAAAAGCAAGGGAACCTAATATTAACTATTGAAGGCCTATTGCTAAAAACACAAACAAGTAGGGCGATATGAACAGTGAAATGTCCCATTGCTGCTGACCAATCAAATCTGAGGATCAAAACTAACAGTTGTTTAATATTTATACGATATTTCAGTATAACATTTTCGTTAACAAACTTATAATTCGGGTACATTTTAAAACTCTTGTTGCAATGGTTCCTTGTTGTTCAATCCACACTTTTTTTTTTTAAATGTATTGTTTGTACAAATACTCAAATGTTTATTATTAGTTTCTTATATCTCACATTTAGCTTTCTACAGTGCATTCTTGTTGATTGAACAATCATGAAACAAAAAAGTGACAAATAGTTGCTACTGGAAGTCCTGGTTCAACAATATTATGTGTAATACATATTAATATGTGACTTTTCCATAATCTTGGGACCAAATTTTCATTGTAGCAACCGGAAAAGTAAAATTCCTGAATTTATTACTATAGCATAACTTGTGGAATCCAATAATAACCAAGTGCAGAACCGCAGAGCCATATGTCACAGCCGTCTAAGGACAGAAGCACCAGGCAACAGTCTCAGCTCAGTGTTGGGGTGGAGATTATAGCGTTATTAAAGTGATATTTTACCCAAAATGTAAAATTTGCTGTTAATTTACTCACCCTGAGGCCATCTAAGATGTAGGTGACTTTTTTTCTTGAGTAGAACAATAAAGAAGGGTTATGGCGAGGTGCTAAGAGGTAGCAATTTTTTAGCTCTGCTGCTAGTTTGTAATTAATCCTACAATACCAACCAGAACTGTATTTAATGTCAAGCAACACGAATATAAGAGTACATGGAATCAAAATGTGACACAAAGGAGGCAAAAAAGACAAGAAAAACGACAAGAAACGAAGATGAATATTCAGAGGGTGAAGAAATTAGCAAATTAGCGGAAGACAGCCCTGACGAAGGAGATGACGAAGTAAGTTTGGGTGGAAATAACAACCAGGATATTATGAAAGCCATAATATCCTTGAAAAGTGGACTTTCTAAGAAAATTGTTGTTGTGCAAACAACATTTACGGAGGTAAGAAAGGAGATAAATGCACAGGGCATATAGCACAAGCGGAACAACGTATTTCTGATGATGACAACATTAATGGGCTAATATACAGAGTGAGCACGTTGGAAAATATCATTAAAACCTTTTCAAACAAAGTGGAAGACTTGGAATGCAGAAGCCGAAGGAACAATGTGAGACTGGTGGGTCTACCGGAGAAAGCAGAGGGCCAGGACACAGTTGCATTTCTGGATACGCCCGAGGACTCTGATTATGAAGTTCTTGAGCTTCAAAGACAATGAGTGAGTACTAAGGGCAGCCAGAATCAAAGGGAATGTTCTTTACAACAACAAACAAGTCCGTTTTCATCCAGACTTCTCTGCTGGTATACACAAGATGAGGCGCAACTATGATGACGTGCAGAAAAGGCTGCAAGACAAGGGGATTCATAAGCACAGAATTATATCTTTCCAGCATGGCTCCTGCTGACACACTGGAAAAGATCGTACACCTTCCATACCTTGGCTGAAGTAGACAAATTTGTCCAGACTCTGATAAATCAAGGCGAACCTACAGGCTGACCTGCTAAATGATCTAGATGACGGCCAGGGCCTTTCCCCTGACCAAGTTGGCCAAGTTGCACCGTACCACAGATTTAGCTCTCTGGGCTACCAAACAAACAGCTGCTGCTATTGGTGGTTTAATCTGACTGACATCGGGCTGACAAGAAAGTCATTTCCTGCTCGATGTGCCAGTATTGCCTTCAGAGATTTTCGGAACTTCTGTTGAGACAGTTGTTGAAATTTTTAGAGAGGCAAAGGCGTGGTTGGCAGCTTTAAAAAAAATTAATAAATAAAATTTAAAAAAAATGTATACCGCTCCGTTCCAGATCCACACCACAAACCTTCCAGGGTTCGGGTCTGTCTCTGTCTGAGTCCTGTCTCGAGCCCCTCCTTTGCAGAGAAGTAAGTCTCAGAAGAAGTGAGATGCCTGGAAGGCTAGGGAAGATCTGAGGGCGGTGATTCAAAGCAAATGCTCTGGTCTACAGCCAAGAGCTGAAAGGAAATTAACATTCTCCTTCCTCTCTTATCTTTCCCCTTCTCGCCGTCATAAAGATTTACAGTTAGGTCCATATGTATTTGGACACTGGCACAATTTTTATTATTTTAGCTGCTGACCAAAACATATTCAGGTTACAGTTATATAACAAATATGGGCTTAAAGTGCACACTCAGAGCTTTAGCATGCATGGCTTCCAGTGGCACTGGGTTACTGGTGTTTAGTGATGACGTGACAGAGGACAGAAGCAGCCTAATGAATTCTGAAGTGTACAGTCAGGGATATACTGTCTGCCCAGATTCAATCAAATGGAGCAAAGTTGATTGGACGTCGCTTCATAGTACAAATGGACAATGACCCAAAACATACTGCAAAAGCAACCCAGGAGTTTTTGAAGGTAAAAAAGTTGAATATTCTGCAATGACCAAGTCAATCTCCTAAACTCAAACCGATTGAGCATAAAAATGAATATTTTATTTTTGATTATATTTATTTGTCCAATTACATTTGAGACCCTGAAAATGGGGGGACTGTGTATAAAAATGGTTGTAATTCCTAAGCATTTTATGTTCTATTTTTGTTAAACCCTTTGAATTAACGCATAAAGTCTGCACTTTAATTTCATCTTGATTGTTTTATTTTTAATTCTGCTCTGGCGGCATACAGAGCCGAAATTATGAAAACTGTGTCAGTGTCCAAATGTATATAATCAATAAGCCAGTCATTCCCTCAGCATGGCTTGTGTCCACTAGAGGATGAAGTGCGAGTTCCCATTTGAAGGGGAACGTCTTAGGTTACATAGGTAACCATGGTTCCCCAAGAAGGGGAACCAGACACTGCATCATGGTGCCATGTTTCAGGCCTTCCTGCACAGGTCTCCTTCAGACAAACAAGTTGAAAGCGTACTACAGGTGCCCTTTTATAACAGTGGCCATGCCGGTAGTGACGTCACGGACTGTCATCGGCAGGCGTGGATTAAAGCACAGGCTTGCCTAGGCTGCAGCGTGTGCAGGGGCCTCGGATTGGCCAGATTATTTTTTTTATTATTTTAAATTTTCTTCAGCTCCAACAAAAAAGACCCTCATTGGCCCATAAGAAACATCAAAGGAGGATTCGTTGCAGAGCGTCTGACAAAATTAATGTCTTGTACTGTAGAATGCACGCCCAGCACCGCCGAGAGTTTGCGCAATCGTTAAATCAAAACCGAAAGTAAAACGCGCACGCGCATTCAAAAGCGATTTTAATACCCCGCGTTTTGAGCGTGACTCCCTGATGCGCGCAAATTAGGCTACATAACATATCTAGGCTGTTATTAGAATGTAGGCTATAATAGGTTGTGTAGTTGTCTATATCTCTGCATCATGCTTGAAAAAAATTGAGCCCCCAATTGTTTTAGACAGTTCAGTACGATTTGGTGAACTGGTTCATCTAGTTCATTAAAAAGAACTGGTTTAAAAGAATGATTAGTTCTCACACCGGACATCACTCTGGACCGTTTGCATGAGGCTATGGATTACAGGGAATAATGTTGTAAAAATATTTAGCTATATGTCAGTGTTATTATTCAAA